TATTTGTAAATCGTGAGAAAATTGTGATTTTTAACCAAGGAAACGGGGTGTGTGAGCAGGGGTGAGGAGTCGCCAGTCAATGACGTCATTTCCGCGTTACCCCCGGTTTCCGCCAGGTTTGACCTCGTACTGCAATAGTAACCATGGCGACGGACGTGGACAACTGTGTCGGTTATGCCCGTTATCCCTAGCAGGGTTTTGTTCAAACATTATGGACCATGGCAAGCAGACTTTGATACAAAAAGAGGACTAAAACGAAGATCAACATTTTTCGAGATGCCGAGAGCTCCACGTCCGCGACTAACTTCGACTTGACAGAGACGCAAGTTTTGCATGTTACTTGAGCAAAGAGGTGAGCAAATTAATGTATGTAAAACTAATCAATGTCAATGTTCAACATGATGAAAAGTTAGAATATGATCTGTATGTTATTCTCTAACGTTAATCTAGCTTAGTCTCATACAGCCAACAAACAACCTAACAATATTCAACACACACAAATGCCGTTTAGTGTGATAGTGAAACCGTTAGAGCAGCGCTGCGTTACCTCAAGTTTAATTCCTCTGATAAACTGATCTTTGGGAGTAATTCAGCGTGTTGTTCGGTAGAATTAAATGTCCTTATTCCTTTATATCCGCGGGACTCGCGTTGTGTGTGGCGCTGGTATACGTCTAGCAATCGCGCCCTGCTTCATACTACAGTCATGTTAAAAACATCAATGTATTCACTCATCCATAAAAGATCCATCTGCTTGACGACAAGATCCATAATTCCGCTTAATGCGGAATATACGTCATTAATTTGCGCCTTTGTTATTGTAAGAGGTTAGCAACCCCTGGTGGTGAAATAATCTTGCATATTGTACCTTTAACTTTTGTTCTCTAAATGAATCTGCGTCTTAAATATCCGTCAGCATTGCTACAAACAGAATGTTCTTGAATACCTTTGGACTCAGGGCTTTAAATGTTTTCTACTAAATGTGTGCCATCTGTACAACCCGTTCACAGCCTCAAATGCCACACCTACAGATCAACCACAGTCTACAGTTTACAAACCATCCAAAGCAAATTGCGTGGAAAAATGCCATGGATTTGGTGGATGGACTTCTGAAATTATGATGATGAAGTCTGCTATTTTAATCTGTGTATTCTGCACAGCCTGTTGTAGATGGACCAGCTGCATCATTATCTGAATACCATATGTATTACAAAGTTCTGAAAGGGTGCGTTTCATATTATTTAACTCTCTGATTAACTACCATGATGCATAGCTGAAGAAACTAACCATCTAGTCACAACTGTTTCCCAAAACTACAGTAACATGGTTCACATTGAACCACACTGGTCCAACAATGTAGGTCATTAATGGCTTCATGCGCATTTAGTTGAATAATAACTTCTGCTGATCCTTGATGTTTGGGTAACACTTTGTTTTGACCAACTCTCATTATTACAGTAGTACTTACAATCTTAAAATGAATATTTATATATATTAAAAGATATGGAATGTACTGAATGTTAGTTTGCTTATTGCGCCCAAAAACATGAGCAATTGAAATCCACACGTCATTTAACTCTTTCATTTAATTCTCGTCAGTCATTGACGGAATTTTACGGATTTCTGTGTTTTCACTGTTATACGGTAGGGGGCGCTATTACACATCTTCTGATAGAGGGATGAATCTCCTGATCAAAACACAGGCGAAGAAGAAGCAGAAATATCTAGCCCGTTCTCATCCCAAGGCTCCATATACTGACGCTTTAGTCAATGCGTAAACATCCAATGCACATGGCACCCTTTAGCGTCAATATGAAACGCAGATATACATGGACCAAAAGGCGCCTCCTAGAGGTCTAACTCTAACCCTACCCCAGACCTAAACCTACCCATAACCGAAGCATGTTATATTGATGCTAAAGGGTGCCATGTGCATTGGAGGTATACGCATTGGCAAACGCGTCAGTATTTGACGCCTTTGGATGAGAATGCGTTGAAATATCATGTAAGTAGATGCTTGTGTAAAATTATGTGATCAACAACACATAACCTAACATAACTGAATGAAATGTCGAAACCAGGACGAGCTGTAGGACTGGTGTTAATGCTTTGGGGGTGTTAATGCACTGTAGTCTGTTCTTTCTTTTGACATTGTGCATGTTCAGATATTCACACAACAAAATATTCTGGGGGCCATGAAATACCAACGGGGAAAGGGTTAACAAGAAATGAGGTTTCTAAGCACAGCTCGAGAGCTGTCACTCCAACCATGTAAGTTTTCGATGCTGTTTGCAAATGTTCATCGGAACTATGGTTTCGGGAAACGCCAAGACATTGAACTCTGTTGATAACAACAGAATTTTTGACCATAGTTGGGATAGTACGATGCTTTCGGGAAACAAATCCCTGCTTGGTAGCGTCTGTCATCCGTTGATCAGTTTTCTTCACACAGTGAGTCTGGATCACATCTGTGCTAGACTGTGGTGCACTGTACCTCAGGAATGCTAACCATATGACAATTTACATACGAGCTGCTTCTCCTTTATATTCCATGCACAAACTGAGCAGATTAATATGTTATATTAAAACCCAGCTATTTATCCAGAAAAAACAAACAAACAAAATATTACTGATTAGATAACAGACATGCCTTTCTGAGAATCCTTCAAATGACATTTCAGTGCCACTATAATCAATAAACTCCCATCAGAGTGCATCAGCATCTCAAACGCATGCGTCCGTCAGACTGTATCTGATGCTAACCGAACTGCTGAAGTAAACAGTCCATATGAATTTTGCCAGTTGCTATAGAATTACAGCGCATGCATCATATTTCACAAGCAGGCACAAATCTGTGTGTTCTTTGAACAGATACGCATGATTAATTATCTTGCGAATAATATGCAAATGTGTCTGTTTCACATGCACTTTATTTGCAGAAGACACAGCGACCGATATCCACCTCTATAACAGGTGCAATCTTGCGTGCAATAAAAGAAGAGGTCACCTGTGTACTAGGACAAGGGACATCAGGACCACTGCAGCTGCCTCTTTTTGAGATTTTGATTTAAGCTACACTCTTATTAATATTTATAGACAAAAGACACATACAGAACATGGACAACCAGGTTTTTAACGTGCAGCAATTGATGCCAGGTCCCTTATGCCAGTATCATATGTTGTTATGCACATGTTTGTAATGATATAGAAAGCAAGGTTACCTCTTATCAGTGGACAGCACCAAGTGTGTATCAGTTCCTCAGCTGTAGGTTGTATGAAAAGATGAAACCGTCACTGAGCGAATATTGTGATACGGAGGAGTTAGTGCGTCAGTGCATCATCACTCTCAGATGCACGCGCTGCTGCAGCAACTTTGACATTGAGCGCTTTAACGCACTGGCGTCCAGCTCGCCTGGAACGTTATGACATCTCTCTCTCTCTCTCTCTCTCTCTCTCTCTCTCTCTCTCTCTCTCTCTCTCTCTCTCTCTCTCTCTCTCTCTCTCTCTCTCTCTCTCTCTCTCTCTCTCGCGCGCGCGCACACACACACACACACACACACACACACACTCTCTCGCGAAGCTCTCTCTCTCTCTCTCGCGCGCTCAGCACGCGCAAGCTGAATAATGAATGATTAGAGCAGCACTGGAGCCGCGTGGACGTTTCTCTCTCGTTCTAGTCCAATCAGGAACTGATCACAATGAGTCGAGCGCTTTGCTCGGGTTACAGCTCTCCTATTCAGTCTGGCCCCCATCCTGCCTTTGTTTCCATCCAGCAAACAAAAAAACGCAGCGGGTCAACAGTGAAATATTGAAAGCCCAGGGCATTTTTTTTTTGGGTGCACATTCTCTAGAACAATTGTTGTGTAACTATATCCCGCTGCGGTCTCGTTAGAGGAAAAGTTACAAGCCTTCAAAGAATCTGAAGAATGTCTTCATCACGCATGTCTGGTGTCAACAGCACATTCCTCTTCAGCGATTGATCAAGACGTGTGGTTTTAATGACTTTAATTAATGCGTTATTTGCAAATGACGAGAGGATGAATATATCTCACAACAATATGTCCAGCATATTTGAAGTAAAAAAAAAAATAATACAAATTAAATTAAAATAAACAAACACTTCATACAAATAAATGTATTACAGCATTGAGGAAATAACGATAATAAACATTTAGAATAAAAAAGTAAGGTAATCGTCATAAAAATAATGGCAAAAACAAAATAAATGTCTTACACATATGCTTGATTTCATGCAAAATAGCCCATCATTTATTATTTTTTGTTTGATATGAGGGGAAATATGACTTTACCCGAGGCATGTTGTCTTAAGATCCAACCATGATGCATGATACATAGAGTATCAGTAATATAACTTCAATTACAAATGATCATACAATCATATTTGAACTATATATATATATATATATATATATATATATATATATATATATCTAAAAGTATTACGTAAAAGCTTTTATATATTTTATATATATAAATACACACACATGCTTGTAAGAAATATTTCCATGTATATACTGTATATAGATTTATATATTATGTATATTAGATATAACTATAAATATTTTATATATAATTAATATATTTTTCTTAAATATACATGCATGCAACTTTTATTTTGGATGCGATTAATCGCGATTAATCGTTTGACAGCCCTAATATATATATATAGGCCTATAGGGAAGTGCTCTCATTTCCTGTAGAGGTGCACAATGCTGGTATTCCAGGAGGAAACAGATTGTCCAGTTTACCAGTATACCCACATAACTTCTCACTGATCACTTTAACAGTGCGCTGAAGTTCTAATTACGGCAGAATAATAGGGTAGTAAACCGGGGTCAGGAGGAATACTGTCCAGGTGCAAACAAACCCACTCGCATCCTTCTACGTAAGGTGTTATGCATTTGAAAGATGCATCAAAATGTTACTCTGATTATATGTATATTAGACAGGTGGCCCTGTGAATATGATCACCATAGACTCACCAGAGGGTCTGAAGATCTCGCCGTCGCTGCAGGATACAGTCCATTCTCTGCCGTCAGCAACACTGATCGAGCCTTCTCACCGCCTGCAACAAAACATCACACAATCAGTCATTTATGAAGCACATCATCATAACTCAAAACAACCATCCGTCCATCTTTTACCTGCCCTCTGCAGGTTTGTGGGGATTCTGAATTAAAACAAATTAATCCATCTACTGTAGGCTACTCCTACTACCTGGAATCATGCAGAGATATCAAAAAAGTGATTAAGTTACAACTAACTTTTTTTTTTTTTTAGTTAATATCAGTGTTGGGGAATGTTATTTTTAAAAGCAATGCTTGATAATATAGCATTATATGATTTTTATTTATTATTTTACAGTGTTTCATTGTTACAAATGTTACATGTAGTTCCTATAATTGGATCACTGAAGGTCAGCAGCAAAAATATTGGTTAATAAAGTGAGATTGCATAAAATGCATAAAATTTGTGTAATTTAACATTTTTCTTTAAGATTATTTTAGGTTTCTGTTATGTTCTGAGTTAGTAACATGAGGACAGGAGAGGACATGGGAAAACAAAGCAACTCATGTTACTTATCTAAAAAAGTAACTCAGATATTTTGCTTTAAATTTAAAAGCAATGCAATATACTTGGGAAAAAGTAATGTGATTGCTGATTACTGACGAGTTACTTGTGTTTCCCCCAACACTGATTATTTGTGTGCAATAGAAGTAAATTGATGACATGTAACACTTCGTATTACATGTAATTACTATAGTGATAACATGCAACCAACCCTAAACCAAACTCTAACACTAATTATCTGGTAAGTACATTAGTTAATTAATATTACTCAATACTCATTTGTATAATTACACTGTAACAACAGCACTAAGTGCAACCGAAGTAACCATTTAGATCAGATTAAGTATTTAGAGAGGAGGATGTAAGGTCACAGCGCAAGTGTTTATTATAGCGGCCCACTCACACAGGCTCAGGGTCAAAGGTCGCGATAATGTGGTGGGTTTGAAAAGCTAAATATGCTCACACACATACACACGCACCAATTCCAAGACTTTGATTCTTCTTCAACACCAAACCCAAATTAAGATATACGGCCCAATAATATCTTATGGTCTTTGAGCTTTTATAAGTTAGATATACATTTAATCTTCTCTAAATGTGTGTTCTAGTATATTCTCTCAAAGCCTGTTTGTAATCAGGTCAGAGAGTTTAGTTCAGACATAACTGATAATAAATAATAATAATTATTATTTTCAGTGCTGACCATGATGACGATATTTATATTCTGTTTTCCTCTCTTGTATTTTATGTGATAGTTTTGTGATAACTGTGCACGTGGGCCTGTTGTCTTGAGCAGTGAAGCTGTTTTATAAAGTCCTCCAGGTCCTGCAAACTCTTCGACTTAGGCTTCCGCTCCACATGGGATTATTTCAGTTCTCGATTTCAAGATCCAGCTTTGCCACTCAGGACAGATGAGGAACTCTTGATTATATTTAGAAATGCTAAACATATTACAGATTTCGCAAAGGGGTATGTGAACTCAACTGGCCTGCATTTTCAAAGGTTATATATCATATTTTATACACTTGTCAGATAAAATATGCAAAAATATACCTTTATCAAAAGGACAACTTTGTTTAATAATATACTACCATTAACTTTTTGGGGTATAACTAGGGGAGCGCGGGGCTAGTTGTAACACACTTATTTTAAATACTTCCACACATGCTAGCACGATGAAATTTGGTGTATTTACTAGTTGCCACTTCAACACTATATAGAGAAAAAATTGCGCCAAAACTCAGAAATCTTTGTGAGATATCACTGAACATTTATTTAACCATAGCTAAAGTACTGTACATTTCTTACTTCAGTTAAGTTTTCATCTCCATTTTTTTAAAATTAGATACATTTGATATTATTTTAATCTCCAATATGTTGTTTAACAGTTGATATAACTAGCAGAAGACACTAGCAGGGTTTAAACCCCAGTTGTGCAGTTGGGGCATGTTGTAACACTGCGTTACAATGTACCCCTATTAGAAATATGCTATTATTTTCTATTCTTTTATGCACTGTAAAAAAAAAATAAAAAAATGTTGGTTTAACTTATTTTTTTAAGTAACCTAGTTGCCTTAAAATTTTAAGTTCATTAAAATGGAAAAAGTGAGTTAATACAATGAAGGAGATCAATTTAATCACCAGAAACTCCAAATATTATGTTATCTGAACTACATAAATTATCTAAGTTGATTTGACAAAAGAAAAAAAATTGTAATTACTAATCATGAAAATATTTTTTTTTTTACAGTGGATTCTATTGAGATAACATGTAGATAAAGAATGATAGTCAATGTTCAGAAATTATTAATTATTATTTTGTTTTGAACTATGCCGAATAGCTGGGTTTTCCTGTGTTTGTTGTCAAACTCAAAAATGAGTTTATTTTTAATTATTAAAAAATGCCATTATTTTAAATGAAAAAGTGAATAATTGTATTTTATTAAGAAAAGATTTTGGTTTGACTTGTATATTTTTTTATTAGATCGGACAGCATTTTAAGCTGTCATATGGTGATGTTACAATGTGCTCCTCACATGTTACAATGTACCCCACCTATGGGGCATGTTGTCACATTTCACTTCCATTCTTTCAGGGTAAATCAAGAAAAAAGTATACACTGTATTAATAAAACAAAACCATATAATTGTAGTAGACATGTGGGAAATTAATGTGGGAAAAAATGTATACTCTAAACCCTATTTACACAAACTGAGAGAGTCAAAAAGCGTTAGGTTGAGCCCTGCTCTCCCCTACATCTCTCTCAGTCAGTGGCAAGCAGTTTTACCTCTAAATGTATCATTTTTGTGATATCTTTATTGTTCTTTCCATAAGTGTTTCAACTGCTGCTAGTCCTTTAAAAAAAGAAGAAAAAGAGAAATCCTGTGAATGAGCCGTTTGTCTGAACGGTGGATGTAAAAGAGGAAAGGATTACAGGTGCTGTTGTTATTCAAGGCACTCTGACTAATAATCATATGAATGTCTTTAATGACGCTCTCAAATTGTAAATACAACAAAGTTATTTTGAATGAAAAGGGATGTGTTTGGCGATTTGATATTTTTATGCAATATATATATTCTCTACCTGATAAACAAAGGAGGATTTGCACTAATCAACATAATATGGATAATATTCTATCTAAAATTTCAATCTAATGCATATAATTTTGTTTGTTGGCATAAATTAATGTTTCAGTTATATATTATTATATATATATATAATAAAAAACACAAAAAATAAAATATAATATGCAGCAGTCTACTAATACTCTAATGAGAGTTAGTTGACATGTAGTTGCAAAGTTACTTATATTCAAAATAATGTCTAAAGTGGACCATCTAAATAAAGTGTAACCTAGCCTAATGTCTTTGTGAATGCTGGTGTTTAGCGCTTATAAGGGGAGGCTGTCAGTACTTTGTATGTTATGTAATACAGTTCTTCAAAGTATCAATCATCCGTTCAGGCAAACCATGTTGATCATAATATTCAGTCGTTTTTAAGGATTATTAGCACTGTCCAATTGACCATGTATAGTTTTATCCCAGTGTTTTGTACCAGTTGTGTCAGCTCCAAAATCTAGTTCCAGTAAATATTGTGTAAAATGCTTATTTCAGATTCAATTGTATTATGTATTGACATTACATTGACCACCCTTCTCTCTACAATGCAACATGCTAAGCAAATAATTGAAACTGAAGATGGAGAATCAGGCTATAATGAAATTAAATGCTGATTATAAACACATACTATGTACATAATTAAAGGAGTGTGTGCAATGCCCTTTTGGTGCTTATTACAGTCATTAGATTAGCTAAACGAGAATGTCAAAATCAAGTCAGTTTTCACTAAAAACATCCTTGAAACAAGTAAGATTTACCGGTTAAGCAAGGCTGTTTCAGCTTCTTTTTAGATTAGATTATATACACTGGGATGCAAACGTTTTGGGTCAGTAATTTCTGTAATTTCAGTTTTCAACACTGATAATAACCATAAATGTTTCTTGAGCATCAAATCATCATATTAGAGTGATTTCTGAAGGATCATGTGACACTGAACACTGAAGACACTTTACCATACTGTATATTCACATAGGAAACCGCTATTTTGAATTATAACGATATTTCACATTTTTGATCAAATAAATGCAGCCTTTTTGAGAAAAAGATTGTACCGACCCCCAACATTTTCAACATAGTTCTTCTATATAGTTCATCTACATGTCCATAATATCATAAATCGCCTTTTTAGCAGGTAAAATTATCCTATTATAAAGATTGTTTGAATATTTTAACTGAAAAACAAACTTAATATACATAATATTTACATATTTGAAATATGACAGCCCCTTCTGTTGTCAGAGTTCAGGGTTTTCTAATCCTACTGATACGATGGCTCTACAAACCCACGGTGATCCACAACTCCTCTGCTTTAAAGTGATAGTTCACTTTGAAATTAATTTTTGATATGTTTTATCTTACCTCAAGGGCATCCAAGATGTAGGTGTCTTTGTTTCCACAGTATTGTCAAATTTGATATTTTTAGGTCAAACCGTTCTTGTCTGTCAATATAATGGAGGTGTATGGGGTCCAAATTAAACATGATTGAATGACTCGTAAATGTAAGTACACATTGATGGCCTAAGACACGAAACGAGCGGTTTGTGTGAGAAAACAAACAGTATTTATATCGTTTTTACCTCTTGTAATCACAGTCACGTCCAAGTACTCTGAGGGCGAGGGCGATTCTGTCTGCACAAGCGCCGGAAAGCCCCGGAAGTGATCTCTTGCGCGTGTACGTCACTCATTGTTTACACAGAGATTTCAGAAGTGTTACCCTTCACTGTGAAGAGCTAAACATATTTAGATATACAGAAAATTGCAATGGAAGACGATTTCGATATATATATCAACAGACAACGTTGATTTTTTTCGCAATCGTGCAAGAGATCACTTCCGGCGCTTTTGCAGACCGAAGCGCCCGTGCCTTCAGATCACTTGGACATGGCTGTGATTACAAGAGGTAAAATCGATATAAATACTGTTCGTTTTCTCACACAAACCGCTCTTTTCGGGTCTTAGGCCATCAATACTTACATTTACGAGTCATTGAATCATGTTTCATTTGGACTTCTCTGTGCATGCTCTTTGAGGTGGACCCCATATACCTCCATTACATGACTGACAGACAAGAACGGTTTGAAAATACTGTGGAAACAAAGACACCTACGTCTTGGATGCCTTTGAGGTAAGCTAAAACAGATAAAAAATTAGTTTCAAAGTGAACTATTCCTTTAAGTGTGAGCGAGGGAACAGATCTGGTGAGGGTTAAACCTGCTGTTCATGCAATCTGTGAAGCGGGACAGACACATCAGCATCGCATTCACATCTGGAGAGAGTAGCTCAAGACTGAAGTTAGTGCTGTGTGAAGAGGGATGGTGAGATTACGGAGAGAGGAGAGTGCTAGTAATGTCCCGATGATGGGGAATTAGTGAGAGAAAGAACCATAGCACAGACACAGAAGGGTAGGCACATTGGAAAAAATGCTGTTTATTGGACTAAGTATACCATACAAAGGAAAAAATAAATTAATTAAAGCCAACGTTACAGCATCAGTGCTGGCAGTCCGTACTGGAGATAGTGTGTGTGTGTGAGAGAAAGAGGAAAAGGATGATATGATACAGAAAGATGTTATAATCATTAAAAAAGATACGCAAAGTGGAACAATTAAAAATTACACTTCAAGATTGCAAAAATACAGCAGAATCTCAGTTAAGAAGCACAGCATTAATTTCATGGCAGATCCGAGTCCAAAACTGAATCGCCTGTTCGGCAGTTTGAGGCTGATCGACAACATGGACACTAGCCTTATTCTGGGAGCATGAATGTTGTAAGTAGCTTGTTCATAACTACATTGTGTAAACAGACTCAAAGTTGAAATGCTCAGCCAGTCTTAAAGACCCCACGAATTCAAAAAAGTCCAAGTTTGTTGGCTTCGAGACCGTCTATGTGTGCTCATTAGGTTTGAAAACATTAACATTGAACAGATACAAGCATTTGAAATGCGCTGAACAAGAATATTGATAACTTGTCTTGTTCACAAAAGCGTGGACAACATTAAAATAAAATGAATTTAACATTCTTGGAGAGAGCTAAATGCTAGCATTCACCTCAATGCTAGTTAGTCGGTTGACACATGTCACCTGGGAGGTCAGTTTCCTAAAAAAAAAAAAATACTCTACAGCTAAAATTTAACACACTCTCATGGCAGTTCATAAATATTTTAGGTTTTGACAAATTGGTGCTGAATAGCAAATCTGTTTACGCCTCACAAGTTAGTGATTAGCTAGTTAGCTGTTAGCTAACTTCTGGCCCAATATCCTGTTTCAACAGGAAATGTCAACTCATGAAAGCAAACTTTTTAATGGGGTCTTTAAGCCTAAAATGGTGAACTGTGATTTTGTTTTGGCACTAATAACAGAATCATTTCAGCTACGGCCTTGATACACGGCACTTTGAATAAGTTATCTATAGCATGTCACTGCATAAAGAATTTCATCGACCATTATACATGAATTGATTCTGCATATTTAACTTATTTTGGCAATTATTGATTTATATACATTGTTTCTGGGAAATCAATGAATCAAAGATCAACATCAGATATTGAAGACAAAAAAAAAAGGCTAATTCAGTACTGAAAAACTAGCTTTGTTCTGTACATGCATAATTTTACCCACACTAATGTAGATTTATCTTCCTTTAAGTGAAACATATTTCAGGTACTGTGAGTTATGCCTGGAAGACGGGCAAAAGGGGCAGCATTTTACCAATATCTTTACCATATTTCATATGTTTGTTCACTGTGAATATGAGCAGTGATAGGAAGCTGGCTTTTCAATTCCCCATCTGAGTATCATTTGTACAAAAACATGATGTTTTATGGCACTACAATGTGGCAAGACTTAGAAAAATGAATACAGAAAACAGCAAGGCAGCTGGTATTAGTGAAAGAAGAAGAATTTACTACAGATAAATAAAATATGTCCTTTACGACCATACTGAGAAGTCTTGGGATTTACAGTAAGTGTGAATATGCAAACAATGTGCATATATTAAATAAACTTTCAGGTTTCAATATAAATAAGAGTGGATTAAACACTCATTTTGAGTGTGATATACAGTATGTACAATCTTTATCTACAGGCATATTAGATATATGCAGCCGTAATCTCTATGGTTTATGAATAATTATTCTAAACTGTTCATTTACATCAAAGAGACTGATTGCCTCGGTTGACGCATGTTTGTACAAATGCCTCGGTTAACATGTTTGTACAAATCATATCGAATTGTGGATTGCCCTTTCAGCCAAATAGCAAATGGACCAAAATACACCCATAGTGCATGTAATCTAGTGTTTTCTTCTCTGAGAGGTTCATTTGGACACATTGGCAGGACTGAGCTTGATTTTGTTCTGTGAGCAGCTGTTTGAACGATGATCTGATGGCAGTTGAATTTGAAACCTTCTTTATAGTAAGTCTGTTTAATATTCAGTGGCTTTTTTGCAGCTAAAAAACATTAAAATCCCATCAGATGCGAAGACACAGAGGCACAGAAAGGCAAACGTCTTTCAATGAGATCAGTTGAATGCGAGCATATGTACATTGTCTCTCTTTTTGTTGGGAAAAATAAATCTGGATCTGTAAACAAAAATATCTTTGATAAACAATGCTTCTGGTAATTGTTAAGTAGTTTAAGTTTTGTAAGGCTACTGGACAACATAATAATAGTCAAACATGCTTATGTATGGATCTACCTATAATGTGAATGATCAAATTGGATAGACATTTATGGACAATATTTTTGTAAAATCAATGCTACACCATTGTATGAAGTTCTATGAAATTATCCAACCTTATATTGGACTTATAGGTTGAAGTCTTCTACATTTACACACTATTTTTTGGCTTTTTTCAGCTATATCTCAAAAGATAATTACAATAAAGAATAATATAACGTTTTTTTTTTTTTTTAATGGGGCAAAAGCTTCACGTACACTCCTAAAATGAAGGTTACACAACGGGATTTTTTCTTCCCGCAGTGATGCCGTAGAAGAATTTATGTTCCCACAAAGAACCTTTTGATTAACAGTTTCCAAAGAACCTTTTTCCACTTTAAAGAACTGGAAAGATTCCATGGATGTTAAAGGTTCTTCATGGAAGCACATCAACGCCAATAAAGACCTTTTTTTTTAAGAGTGTATGATATGCTATCGGCCTCGTCTTCAAAATGTTGTGCAACACCAAAAGAACCAGACGATCTGTGGAAAAGAAAGAGTGAGAAGCGTACTTCTCTGGCGTCACAGAGGTGGAGGTGCTGTTAGTAACAGGGTGAGATTTTGTTTTTTAAAGGAAGGCAGAGCCTTGGTAAATGTGCTCCAGGAAAAGAGAAGTTGCGGGAGAAAGGTCACATGACAGCACAGCACTGGCAGCGTTTTTTCTTTTCAATACCTGTGGGTGGCAGTTCCTTGGTCGAGCTTTCGTCTTTTCCTTCTGAGGACAGTTCAGAGGTGTCGGACAGAGGCCGACCCGACACGAGGTCCGCGGCGTTCCCGTCGATGGTGGACATATCGGTGACGGTCTTCTCTCGGAGAGATTTCTCGTCGTCCTCGTCGATGAGGACGATCTCGGCCTTGATCGTGCCGTCGAAGCCGAGCAGCTTCTTGGATTCCTCCTCGTCCTCAATGCTGTGGTAGCCCATGAAGATCATGGTCACCGGTTTGTCGGCTGAGGCCTTTGGCGTCTCCGTGACCTCGCCTTCGTAGCCTTTGCTAGGGGTTTGTTTGGCGTCTTGCTTGCTCAACTGTCCTCCCTTCGGTTGTGGCTCAGCCGGCGTGACAGTGACTCGGCCGCCGTCCTCTCGTTGTTGGTTTTGGCCGACTTGCCGCATCAGTTGATCCACCTGTCCGGGACTCCAGGGGTGCGTGCCGTTCTCCAGTGTGGTAGATCCCCCAGAACGCACCTCATAGATCACCTTGCGGCCGTCGTCGTAGACTTTGACGCCCCTCTGATGAGCGTCCTGTGGACTGACCGCGGAGGCCGAGAGGATCTTGGTGGCACCCGTCTTCCGGTCCTTTTCGACATTGATCTCCATGGCGTATAATGCTTGGGGAAGAGTGCAGACGGTTGTGGGTTAATGTCTACTCAGGGTGGTCTATCATGCATTACTGAAATGTGGCATGCTTATTGTTTAGGAGTTTTTCAGTGATGTCATTTTGCCCATGCAATATTCGTACAGTCTCATAAATTGGCATAAAAACCAGAGGCAGAAAACAAATGCAACCTAACCTTTGGCTGTTGCCAGGAACCGCTGTATGCTAGTTGACGACACACTCTGGCATTTTTATGGAAATGGTTCACTACTTTATTAATTACAATCTTTGGAGTTATTGGTAACACTTTATTTTAATGGTCCCTTTTGAAAACTTTGTTGACTTTAAGTTACTCTCATTAGAGTATTAGTAGACTGTCAGGTTAATATTTGCTAACACTTTATTGTGATGCTCCCCAACAGGCAGTCTACTAACTATAGTAACTGTTCAACTATGTCAACTTATTCAGTAACACTTTATTTGAAGGGGTGTGCATAAGACTGACATGACACTGTCATAAATGACTTTTAATGCAAAGTTGACATTGTTTAAAATGTCTTTGTTATGACAACTTGACATTAACCAAGACAAAAATGTCTTGATTATGACAACTTGACATAACCAAGACAGAAATGTCTTTGTTATGACAACTTGACATTAACCAAGAAATCATAACCTGTCACATATATGTCATAACAGGTCTAATTATAAAACTTAAAGAAGTTATTTAGCTTTGCGTTAACATTACATTACCCTGTCACATGTGGTTGGTTTTGACTTTGGCCATCATGACACCATTATAATTGTGTCATGAATATTTTACTTGTCCTCAAGTAAAGTGGAACACTTTGGACTAATTATAAAGATGTCATTAAGGGTTATTACACTGTTAAATGCTTTAACAACAGTGTCATATTTCCCTTTACCTCAAGTAAAGTGGAACACGTCAGACTAGTTATAAAGATGTCAGGTTGACAGGTTATGATTTCTTGGTTAATGTCACGTTGTCATAATCAAGACATTTTTTGTCTTTGTTAATGTCAAGTTGTCATAACAAAGACATTTTAAACAATGTCAACTTTGAAGTGTCATAATTTACAGAATGACACTTAATGACAACAGTCATAAACATTCATAAAGACTCCTTCATGTTCATGACAGGTGTTATGTCATGTTTGTGACAGTGTCATGTCAGTCTTATGCACACCCCTTTAAATAAAGTGTCACCACTTATTCTAAACCTACCAGTCTACTAATACTCAACTAACACTACAATGAGAGTTAGTAGACTTGTAATGCTAAACAAAGCTAAATGCAAATAATAAAATGCATTAGCCATGTAATCGTGCATAGCTAAGGCAGCTAAAAATATTCAAGTGAGCATAACTGTACTGTAGTGCACTTGCAGTGTAACTTCCCGCACATTCATCAGCCAATTGGTCATACTTTCTGGCAAGTACTAATTTAGTCCATTGTTTGTTGGTAAATCAGGGTTAATGCATTTAAAAAATGTATTTTTTCCTATTCAGCCAATGTCTTAATAATAATAACATTTGCATAGTGATGGACATATACAGTATGCAGCACAGCAATACTGATGAAGTTCTTCATATTTTGTTTGACATTTTAAATGATGACTAATTGTGGGACTTCCCACAACTTGGTGTCCAATGTAAAGCCTACAACTATTTAAGAAACACTGATCTAATTCCTATATGTATATAAATGAAGTGCTTGAATGGATGAAAAAGTATACCTGAAGAATTTCAGCTGATGACTTCATTTTATTCAAAGCTGTTCCGGAACAGATCCACCCCCCTCTCCCACCCCCATACATGCATAACATTTCTCTGCAACTGATGGAGTAAGACATGACCTAGACATGCAATAAAATGGTTATGGACTTTTCCACTCATCTCCATCACAGACCTATTGTAAACTGAGCTTCTCTGAACTGGTCAGTAGCACATGCCCAACAAAAGCAGTTTAAGCCTTTGATATGTGTTTGAAACTGGCGACCAGTTACCCTACTTTACATAGATTATGGAATATTCCATCCCGGCATGGTGAGTAACGGCACCATCTGTAATCTACATTACTATACCCAATTTTGGCCTTGGCCCAAACCCGTGACCAACCCCAGCCCCTCCCACAAGCCCAACAAGCACCTACCAGGTTTTCTTGGCGGTTGTTGATCCCCTGAAGCCGAGACGGGAGTTTGGGAGTTCAGTTCTGGGATCTGGGAGCAGTTGTAATTCACCGCATCTGTCCGGTGGAGAGCAGAAGAGACACCAAAACTTGATTCCTGTGTTCAAAAGCCCACAGAGTTTGCTCCCTCCCCTTCCAATACCGCACACTAAACTGAGCCCCCCCACCCCCCTCTCTCTCTATCACCCTTTTCCCCCTCATTGCTTAGACAGCAAAAGCAGCGCAAGTGAATTACAGCAAAACAATGGTGGCTCTGGGATACAGGGATTCCCTGTGAATAGGTGGATCAAGGTAAACAAAGTGCAGAGTCATTGCCATATGTGTGGAGTTCAATAGTCTAGCTGAGGCAAGAGGGAAATGGTCCAAGAGGCCAATGTTGGACCCCTCCGTCCCACAAAAGGATGTAAGAGAAGAGTATGTTTTGAGTGACTGTCTACCATTGAACCGGTACCTTGGAAGTAACATCCATGGTTAGCAAAGATGCCCATGAGCGTGGCCTGAAATGTCTAGGTTGCATTGGTGCTACAGGACAACGCCCCACATCTAGTACAATACAGATGAAAATGACTTTCATACCTCCATCTTGATACTGAAGACTCTGTAGAAAAAAAAGAAGAAAAGATGATGTTTAACATACAGCTGCATTCCTCTAAATTACTGCATTAGTTACATTATTTAGACTTTTAAAGACAAAATGTGTAATTTCTGCACGACTAGAGCAACCAAAGCGTATGGTAACGCTTTATTTTGATGGCCCACGTTAGACATACTGGCTATAAGTAAATTTGCAACTACATGTCAACTTACTCTACTAACCCTAAAACCTAACCGTAACGTAACAGTCTACTAATACCCTAATGATTAAAAGTTGACATGTAGTTGCAAAGTTACTTATAGTCAGTAAAACGTCCAAAGTTGACCATCAAAATAAGCTTCAGGAAGAATGATGACTGTTCCAAACAGGTTTCCAGGATTATTCCTCAACTGCAAATTGGAAGGGGTTAAAAAACAGACAAAAAATGACATACTTCTCTTTCACCTTTAAAAAAATGTCTACATGCCATAATGTTAGATAACTGATGCAGCATCTGTAGAAGTGGATACCTTGAACAAATGAGAACTAACTTGGACTGAGCTATATTTTGTAGTTATGGGACTCAATGTGATTTTTAGGATGTATGAAGATGTGTTCAAGTCCTGTGATAACCTCAGGATTTCTGAGTTTCCGTGTCTGTGAGAAATCCTTGTGGATATTAATAGAGCTGACGTATTTATTTATAGGCCAACCCTGAAGACTCTGATTCCCTCGAAAGAAACCCAGAAGCATTTTTCCATTGGATTTTGGATTATTGCAGAATATAAGCTCTGTTACCAGCAAAAGTTTATGATTCTCACACAAGTTTGAATAGTTAGAAAAGAGCGCGAGAATAAATGTAATTTTTGGTACATTTAATCACCCCAAGAACCTCTGTAGTCCTATTTCTCAGCAAAAGTTTTAAAAAAAGTTGATTTCCAGATTTCAGGACTCGTTGCATTTTTCTACGGTTGCATGTCAGTAGCATGAACTAAACGCCATAGTATTGTACATTGAACATGTAACGATTTAGTTTCACAAATTGATTAAAAACGTAATAAAGCAAGAACTTGATGCATGTTCTTTGTTTATTATTTTGTAAGTAGAGTTCTACAAAATACTAATTCGTGCTGTATTTTGTAGTTAATTAAGAGAAGATTCATCAGCAATGAGATCTGAATCCAATCTGATGCTGTACTTATGACTTTCCTCATGAACTCATGAATGTGAACTTTCCCTGAGGACTTGAACACACCATTAGTTACCCTCAAGTTCAAGAGTAAGCACAGTTGTAGTCCATCAGTTTAAATGGATATCTGTCCTGTCTTTTATTAAAATAAATGATAATTGCTTTGATATTTTGGCTAATGCAAGGCTATTCAGACATTTACTCTGTGTGTGAGGTCAGTTTTTGAGTGTACTTCTGTGACAAGGATCACTTGCCTTCTGTAGATCTTCGATAGATCTCTCTGTTTCCCTCAGTCGCTCTCTGAGAACCTGCTCTTTCGCCGAGATCTGAGATTCTTCGTTCTCCAGGAGACAGATTTCTGATTCCAAACTACAAAAACACAAGAAACCATCACTATCCTCTTCTTTTTAAATTTAAAGGGATACTCCCCTTTTTTTGGAAATGGGCTCATTTTACCACCCCCCAGAGTTAAACAGTTCAGTTTTACCGTTTTCGAATGTATTCAGACGACTTTCGGACATTTAGAAGAATATCACTAACCAGACAGTTTCTGGTCTCATTGACTTCCATAGTATTTTTTTCCATAGTATGGAAGTCAATGAGACCAGTTACTGTCTGGTTACTGATATTCTTCTAAACATCATATACATTCAAAAACGGTAAAACCCAACTGTTTAACTCTGGGGGAGTGGTAAAATGAGCCTATTTACAAAAAAGTGGAGTATCCCTTTAATTCATAAAATTACTGAAATTAATTATTCATAACATGCTATATAAATTCTTCAGAAAAGAAGAGACCGTTTCCCAGACTTGAAACCATATCCGGGTCACATCTGGTACATGTGGATTCAACGCGTACCAGATGTGGGCCGGAACTGGGCCGACACTATGTTGCTATCTGGGTTCACATTGAGATCAAGTGGATCAATAATGCAACAAGAAGATATTGATATTGCATTTTAACCTCTGAAAGTACAACATCATTTAACAGTTTTGGGTTAGTAAGAATTTTTTAAAATCAGCAGTATTGTGAAATATTATTGCAATTTAAAATAACCCCTAAATGGACATGGTGATGGAAAAAAAAAAATGAGATGGCGAGTATTGCGCCCCCAGAGAAACTTTGCATAAAAAAAAAAAAAAAAAAAACACTTAACCAAAATCTTGAACGACTAGGGCTTCAGAATACTTCTAATATGGTGCGGGACTACTTTTATGATATTTTTACAGTTTTTTTTGGAACCATGTTGTACGGAAAAAGGGGGTCCAGACATTCTACTAAAACTAGTTTTGCACCCCATGGAAGAAACAACATAAGGCGAATCAGTGCTCTTTCTTTTTTTGAAGAAAAATCAGAAACATATTGACTGTATTAGCACTTTGAACTTTCTCAAAGCATGCACATGTGTTTCCCGCTGAATGAAATCATGCATTGGAATGCACAGGGGTGTGCAACACGTTCTGGAAATGAATGAGACACATATCCCTTTAGTGTCAATTAAGCCACGCATATTCCACTGTTCCCAACGGACTCCATTCTAACTGATTGTGAATGCTGGCAGCCAATGAGGAAGCCGCGCTGCCTCCGCCCAGGCGTATTTCCTGCTATTGTTTGGATCACTGAGGTTACGTGGTCTGCAATAACAAAATAGAAGGAGCATTCCCACGACTCCTGACAAAAATCCCTTCTGCATAAAGACATGTGCTATCTATGCGTACAAACATAATGGATGACAGTGAATGCATCAACATGTGGCACTGTCTGAACTTTACGTTTGATTTTTGAACACGTGTACATTTGGCTGTCTATGTGGAAGTCGAAAAAAGAGATGAGCGAAATGACCCCGGACCCTAAAACACCACAAACACTGGTGTTTTAGGGTCCAGGGTTGTTCTGTCTAACATCTCTTTTTATAAATAATAGTAATTCATTTTAAGGAGCATACACCAACATAAGGCTGGATCTGGGCTAACATTATGTTTCTGTCTGGGTAAATAAATAAATAAATAAAAGGAAATCATCAAATTAATCTAAAGAGTCTTACTTTAATTTACGGGAATGCGAAAAGTTGCTACAATTTTTATGTTGACAATTTTAGCTGCACTAGGTGATTTTTTTGTAAATAGTGTCAATAAAGGTGTTCAACACTCTTCAATAAAAATAAATTTATTGAAATGAGTTATTTTTTTTTTTTAACTGAACTGAATCAACTCTGAACTGACCTCTTTTTACAGCCAAATTTGATTCCTGTTTGGAAAACAAATATGTTGGTTAAAAAAGAAATTTAACTGAGTTTGAATTTGACAACTTCGAATGAAATTGCATTCAACCAACAAACTACATTGAGTTAAAAGGGGCTTAACAATTTGTTGCATAAACTAAATTTTTTAAGTTCAATTCTCAAAAAATTAAGTCGCTACATATACTGTATATAAATAATAGTAATTCATTTTAAGGAGAATACACCAACATGAGGCCGGATCTGGGCCAACATTATGTTGCTGTCCGGGTAAATAAATAAATAAAAGGGAAACATAATAGAAAAATCATCAAATGAATCTAAAGAGTTTTACTTGAATTTATGGGAATGTTAAAAGTTGCTACAATTTGTACGTTGACAATTTTAGCTGTACTGTCTATAGACGATTTTTTTGGGTAAATAGTGTCAATTAAGAAACCTGAAATATAATAACGATTAAATATGCAACTTGCTTTCTTGCAAACCTAGAGACTGAGGAAGAGCAGGAGTGGAGCAGTAATGGAGAGAGAAGAGCCAGCGCTTCAAGGCCATCTAGTGGTGGGATCACGCCGAAGCGTCTTTCCAAACTAACTCGTGTGTTCAGACTGACTTCTTTCTACTCTTAACACATACATAGCATTATTATCAGTAATCACATTCGATTTGTGTGACTCATTTAGGACGACTTGATTCGTTTTTTTTTTTGACTGAATATTTCATAGGGTAAGTTTATTTTTTAAATGTAATTTCTGTTATGGCACACTAAAGTCTTTTATTTAAGCTATTAAAACTTTATAACGAAATATATGTTTTGAAAATAAATTAAAGGCTGCGTAATAGCTTTTATAAATAGTAGCCTAAAATATATGACACACAAAACACAATACATATATTTTTTTATTAATAGAAATAATTATGGTTAGATTATAATTATAGTAAAAATGATTAATTAATAATTAATTAATAACTTGCCCCAACCATTAGTTAAAAGTACTCTTGTTTGTCAATATTGTTTTATTGTATTTACTGTAAAAAAATATTGTTGGTTTAACTTACAGTAAAAAATGAAGTAACCTGGCTGCGTTCATAGAAATGGAAAAATTGAGTTAATACAATGAAGGAGATTGATTTAATCATCAGAAACTCAAAACATTATGTTATCAGAACTATATAAATTATTTAGGTTGATTTGACAAAAGAAAAAAATGTTGTGATTACAAATCACAAAAAACATATTTTTTACAGTATACTGTGTTCACTTGTTAAGCCAACAGCTATTACAAAATAAAATACACACACAAAACATACACACGCACGCACGCACACGCGAGGAACAGGAAATCTGTCACACAGTAGCATCAACATCCATAACTATGAATGGAGCGTCTCTGTGAGGTGTGATTGTACAGTACACTAGGCCTTTCACTTTCTATATGTTTTCATTAATAACTGCTAATGCAGCACCTCCTTGTGTAAATAACTAAAATAAGCATGAAAACCTTGACTTGAAACCACATTATTATCTAGTGGATTTATCGGTTATTCAATATTTCAATGTTATTTTTTCAGTCAGTAGAGAACTGGATCAAAACGGTCCTAGTGTTACACTGCCTGTCAGTTCCAGTACGATGGGTGTTGACCACATGACTCATTCAAAAAGCGGATCTCCCTTTTTTCCTTGTTCCAAAGCGTAGTCAGAGGTCAAGAGTGCATCTTCTGTCTGATGAGCTCACACTCATACTCACACCCACATCAATCCTGCAGGATTCCTTACGCCGCATCATTCTCTCCTGAGCTCCGAGTGGAAGAAGCTATTCACACTATTCTATAGCAATTCTTATTAGAATACTTTACTTTGATTTTAGATTACGTTACCGCATCACAGTAAAATGATGATAGATAAAACCATTAGGCTTCAGTCACATGTTGTATTGTTGAATTGTTGCAAAAAGCCAGTCATTTCAGTCCACAAGTTCAAGTTGGTCATGTGAATTTACCATGTGGACCAACAGAAAGCTGATTGGTTAGAAAGTGACTTCTTCGTACATCCTTACCAATTTTGGGGAAGATAAACTGAAATTTATATATATTTGGCGAATAAGGGCCATTCACACCAAAAGTGAAATAAAAAAAAAAAAGCATCAGGCATACGTTAGAGGGTGTTCAACACTCTTAAATAATTTTTTTTTTTAAATTAAAATGATTATTTTCAATTGAACTGAACTGAATCAACAATGAACTGACCTCAGCTGAATAAATGACAATAGTTTTTTTTACAGACGAATTTGATTCCTGTTTGGAAGAAAAAAAAATGTTGGATCAAAAAGAAATTCGAAACAACTTCGAATGAAATTACATTCAACCAACAAACTACATTGAGTTAATAACTTAAAAATTTGAGTTTATGCTGCAAATTGTTAAGTCCCTTTAACAATTTGCAGCATAAACTCAAATTTTTAAGTTATTTTCTCAAAAAATTAAGTCACTACAACTACTTGAGTTATAGACCAAGAACTAATTCATCTTATCTATTTCACTTCAAATCCACAGCTACTGTATCATAGCTGTCACGATGTGGGTTTGTGTAATGTTCTATGGTTCCCTGTCTTGTCTATTAGTTATCCCATGTGTTTCTGATTTCCCACGCCCCCTTGTTATCTTGTCTCGCTTGTTTGTCCCTGATTATTTAAGCTTTGTGTTTCAGCCTTGTCTTTGTGAGTTCTTGTTTAATGTTTGACTGTTAACGTCAGTGTTAGTTGCTCCTGTTCCTGAGTCCCGAGTCCTGTATCCAGCCTGTATAGTTTGTAGTCTGTTAAATAAAGTGTGTGCTGCTTTTGGATCCTGCTTCAACCGCACCACGTTACAATAGCACATGCTTAAAATAACTTATTTAACATGTATTAAGTTAATGTCATGATCAGCATTATTATGTCTACAAAACTAAGCAAAATAATGTTTGCAACTTAAAATGTATAATTAAAACAATAAATCAGCATTTTTGACTTCCAACCATGCATTTAAGTTACAAGTTCCCTTTTTTACCTTTAAAAGTGTTGATCATTGTATAAAGCTGCTTTGAAACATTATATATATATATTTTTAAATTGCTATAGTGTATAAATAAAAATT